TCTTGTAAACAATTAGTGTTGAGATGAATATATTTCAGGAGACGTTACATCCTTCCCAGTGTTTAGAGCAGGATTCTAGCTCTCAATTCTGCCTTGTTGGAATTGTTGGGTTGGAGTGAAGAAGACTCTCCTTAGGCAACACATAGGTGTTCCCTTAGGACAAGGAAACTGAGCAAGAAGGGAATTATCTGATCCTTTCACACCTCTCTGACCTTTTACTCCTTGTGAGGTTCATGCCTCTGTGGATTGTGTCCTGAGAGGTATTCAGTTAGCAATTCAGTTAGGAAGAGTTGGAGTGCTTTACAGAAAGGCACTCTGCTGAATCTGTGAACACAGGGTGAAACACCTTCCTGAATTTGGCGAGGTGGGACATAAATACAAGTTACGTCAGTGCCCAGAGCAAGTGGGTGAGGAACAAGAGAAGTGGAGATGTTACACTGATAAATGAAGGGTCTCAGCACACATCTGAGGATAATCAAATTGGGACATTAAGTAAATGTGTCCACCACCAATTGTGTCTAACAGAGTAACCACCATGCCCAGAATGAGTCTATTCAAAATGATTATGACAGAACAATGATTCAAAAATATTTCAGAAATTATTTTGGGACATGAGTACGTTTTATTTAAAAATTTTCATTACAATTATTTATCAGTGTCTGGGAACAGTGGATGACACATATGTGGAAGGCGGAGGTCAACTTGCAGGCATTAGTTCTTTCCTTTCACCATGTGGGTCCCCTGGGGATTGAACTCAGGTTCTGTTGCTCCCTGTGCCAAGCAGGTATCTCATATTACCTTTACATTTTCTTCCTAAACTATAATGCAAACTTTTGCACGTCTATGCTTTGTAACCTAGATGTTATTAAATAGTAACACAAATATTGTTTGTCCCTAAATTCCCACTGAAGTTCATGAAAAGACATCCATATCTTTCTCCACAGAGGCATTTTTAATAGCATAGTTATTCATAAATCTGTGATCAATTTCTCTCTGATAGAGTCAGATTATTTAGTAATACTGTTTTAAATTTCCTGCTTTGGTTTCTTTCTTTAAACACAATTTATAAAACTTCTGAGTGGACATACAATATTTAACATTTTAACTGATCGGTAACATTTGCAATTGAAATAAGTCTTTAGGTAAGAACAATTAGTGATCATGTATTTCATACTGTGAAATCTCTAAACGGTCCATCCATATAAAAAGCAGTAATTCCTAAGTGTTAACCACATCTTCGAAAAAGCTAAAGCTCCATTTGGGAAAAAAGTAGAAAACAATTACAACTGGAAAAGGACATAATTGTTGTGAAATAAAAGTAAGTCAAATAGTCTGAAAAATACAAGAGTATACTGCTTTAGTAAATATTGAACACAACCACCTCATAATGCAACAAAAGCAAGTTTCATGTATTTAACACATTTCTACTAAAATAGTGCTTATGGATTTGAAGAAAAGTAAGTAATTTATTAATGTGTGACTACCTCTGAACAAAGACGAAGTAGAGCTGAGGAACTCTGAAAAACAGCTCTGTTTTTGAAAATTCATTGCCATACTCAAAACAGTATACTTAGTTTTCTGTAATAAATACCACAGAAAGTAATGATCTCTATTGTCATCAATATCAGTGATTTGATCACTGGCATTCTGTCCTTTGAGAAAAGCACCATCTTCCCAGGTAATTATGTGATCCATCCATATAAAAATTTTGTTCACTGAAAGATAACAAAGATAAATAGCATTAGGTTAGGAAAAAGTAAACTTTCTCCAAGATGAGACAAAACACTGGCATTTAAGTCAAATATTTTCAGAATATATAAAAGTCAACAATACATAAAAGTTAACAACATACACAGTCAGAACAGCTAAATCTAAAGACAGCTAATGTCAAAAGCAAAATGGCTTTCAAGTCAAAGTCTTTTTTGTTGTTGTTGTTGTTGTTTTGTTTTTTTTGAGACAGGGTCTCCCTGTAGCCCCAGCTGTCCTGGAACTCACTATGTAGACCAGGCTGGCCTTGAACTCACAGAGATCGCCTGCCTCTGCCTCCCGAGTCTTTTAAACCTGATGAACTCATGCCAAAGAGAGATGTGAAAATGCAGAGCATATAGGAAAACAGTTGCTTTGGTAAAGGAACAGTAGTGAGTGCTAGCTGGGTTGTTTAGACAAAACATTATTAAACAAGTCTCATAGAATTGGAATAATTATGAGAAATAAAATGGTACTTTAAAAATAACTGTATGTACGTGTAAAATAAATGAAAAATTCACAAGACAAGAGGCATGTCATTGGAATGGGATTGATTTTATAAAATCTTGGATGACATTAGTTATTTTCTTTCAATAAGATCTTGTGAAGGGCACGTTAGTGAAATTATTCTGGTTCAAAATGTGTGACAGACTAGAAGACAGAGAGAATGAACAAAGAATGAATGACTATGACCATGCAACAGTACGGAGGTATGAGCCACGTATTAACAGGAGTGGGAGAAAGTGAGAGAAGCTGCTCCTGATGAGGAGCACACTGACAAAGACTGAGACCCACAAAACGAAAGGTAAGGAAGAATCACTGATGCCTCAAGTACCTAGTTTGTGAAAAGATAAAAATAAAGCCAGTTTAATGAATACAATAATTAAGAAGCGGCACAGTTGCTAATCATTTAACCAAATAGGAATTTTTTTTCTCTTAATTTTTTTAGTTTGTAAAAAGGTCTCAGGTAGCCAAGGCTGGCCTCCAACTTGCTAAGTGAGGTTAAACTTGAACCCTTAGTCTTCCTGTCTCAACCTCCTAAGTGCTGGTATTAAAGGCACGTACCACCACTCTCAGCTTCGCTAAATAAGGTTTCTAACAGTTGTGCGTACTTGAGTGGGGCTAACAACAAAGTACTAAGTTTAGATTTTAGAAGTGCTTCCTTGTTTTCTACAAAATGCTGAGTGGAAAAATAAAAGCACACTAAAATACAGGAAAAAAAACCCCATGATTTCTTTAAATATTTTGGTACATGTTTAATGAATTTGTGTTGTACAAAGAACCCATGTAGCCTTAGGCATATTTCCCACTGACTGCAGTCAGACTTCATAGGGATCTTTGTATAAAAGAATTATTATGCTATTCATGGTGACATTTTCTGAAGGTTTGCAATATATTATGGCATGATGCACACATTCAGTAAGAGTGTCCTGTATCCAGGAATATCCTCTCACCCTTTTAAATTGCAGTCTAGAATAAATTATGAGGGAAAATCACCTCATTTACCTATTCTTACAAGTGACCCTTTCAGATAACATAACAGGATGAGCTGAGAAAAAAATGTCAGCCAAGATTCATTTCTAAAGAATCATAAATTCATTATTATAGTGGAAAGGTTTTTATTTTTTTCTTCAACATTTCCTTCAACATTTAATATACTCTTGGTTGTAACAAATCTTGGTAATAAGAAATAGACTTACAGCAGAAAAACAAGAACAAGTTTATTAAGATGTGTTGTTCCATCTTTACATAGAAGACAGAGGCAATGATTAGATTTCAGATGGGTGGCTTTGAATTTCAGCTAAAACAGCATCTTCTTCAAAAAAGAACAGTGGAGTTGTAGAGAATCAGGAAGACAAAGGAAAATGATATTTGATCCTGGTAACAGCAATCTGGGCCAAGTAAAATAAAAATCATGGGAGGACAGAGGTCAGCGGGTATGTAGATGCTCCTAAGGTTTTCAAGTTGTCTTACCTTTGAGCCCCCTGGTGGACAGGGGGGCTAGTTCCTTTATATTTTAGTAAATCTGTGTGTTGTTTTTAGACAAGTAAATGGAGGCCCGATAGCTTTCATAATATTGCATATTTATGATTATTCTTCAGCAGTCCTTCATATACTGGGTTATATATTCTGGACTCCTATATAGTGAGTTTTAAGATAGGTTAAGATAAATTTGGATTTTATAGTGAAAATCTAGCTTCTCGTTAATGTATAATAACAATGGCTTTTGTTATAATATCATCTTCTCAAAGAGGAGTGTGTGTGTGCACATTTGTGTGCCTGTATGATGAGCATATGTGGTAGGTGAGTGTGTTTTCTAGTTTTTACATTAAAAAAAAACCCGTTAAACCTGGACTCAATAGCTATAAAGTGCTTTTATTCAAAGCACAAATCAGAGATCAACAGATTTTTTTGTCATTGATTTTAGAAATATAGAATTTCACATCTATACCAATTACTGAGCCAGACTTTGCTTTTAAACAAGATTTTTTGGTTATTGTTCATGTTCACTAATGTTTAAAAAGCAATACATTCGTTTTATGTAAACTGATCCACGCAGTTCAGTTTTTCACGTAACCAATTTTGATTTTCTAAGAGGCATCATGATTCAAATCTTAAGGCTTGCTAGGGCATATATTAAATAATGCATTTAATGCTACAGGAGTGAAGGCAGCATTACATTAAATCCAGTACATTCATAGTACTGTGTTGGGCATTTTCAATCTATTAATTTATTTAAAGTTGCAGCCCCCTCCGAGTGAAGTGTTCCTGTCTCCATATCTCTGTGTAAAAACCAGCCTCAGGCTAACACCCTCATCTATTCCACACAGCTGATGTTTTCAGAAAATATTGAATATCTCACCACTGTAAATCCCTGCAAACAAAATGCGGACAACACGTATTATGCCATAATGTACTTTGTTAAGTAAGAAGACAAATACTAAGAGAGTATGAAGCAGCGTAAATTCTTTGAAAAGAGAAACATAGACTCAAGAGATTTACAGAAAACTTTTTCGCAGAGAGCCTAATAGTTGTCTACAAAAACACATCTGCAAAGTTGGCCTTGCAGGACAGCCGCGTGAGACTGGGATTTGCAGGATCGTGGTGGGGTGGGGGCAGACAGTGTCGAAGGTGCAGAAGTCCCTTCAGGGTCGCGGGCGGGCTGAGCGAGGACTAGGCGGGAGTTGCTGGTCCGCTCTGGCTGGGAAGGGCGGGTGGTCAGGCAGCGGCGGTGGGTTGCCGGCCCCTCCCCGCAGCTTCCTCCTCCCCCGTCGCCGCCTCCCGCCCTGTGCCAAGCCCTGGGGGGTGAGGGGCGCCGGAGAGGGGCCCGGGCGGAGCGGGGCCCCTCAAAGTGAGAAAGCGGCCGCAGCGCCCTGGGCTGCGAGTTCCGGGTTCTCGCGGCCAGCCGCCCACGGAGCAGGGAGCCGGTGTCCGCAGCCGGGCCGACGGGGGAACGCCGCCTAGCGTGCACCCCGCTTCCCCCGCGCTGGGCCCTGCGTCCGGCCCCGGGCCTCCGCCTCCGCCCGCCCTGAGGCTGCCGCTCCCGTTCACGCGGCGCCGGAATTCCTGCCGCGAGCAAGGCCTGGGTGTCCGCGGAAAAGCCCCAGCTGCGAGCGGAAAGATGGAGGGCCTGCCCCGCCGGCCACTCTCAAGTTGTTCCTGAGTTGGAAGGAGCGCGGTCAGCGCCCTGGAAGGCAGGGCTCCTCCATCTCCATGAGCGCTTGGAGCGCTTGGCCGGGCCGCGACAGCCGCAGCTGACCCCAGCTGGGCCTCGCAGCGCTCATCCCCAGGCCAGAGCGCCCTAGCTGGACCTGACTGTGGTCTAGCCTCTTTTCTGGAAGGATCCCCCGGGAGTTCCTGGGGAACGGGCTTGTGGTGGTGGAAGGAAAGACATGAGCGTGGAAGCCAAGTACCGGCTGGCCTCCCTGTACGTGGGTGACCTGCACGAAGATGTCACCGAGGACCTGCTGTTTAAGAAGTTCAGCTCAGTAGGGCCTGTGCTCTCCATCCGCATCTGTAGGGACCTGGTCTCACGCCGTTCCCTGGGCTATGCCTATGTCAACTTCCTGCAGCTGGCGGATGCCCAGAAGGTTCTGGACACCATGAACTTTGACCTGATTAAAGGAAAATCCATCCGTCTCATGTGGTCTCAACGGGATGCCCATTTGAGAAAATCAGGAATTGGGAATGTGTTTATCAAGAATCTGGATAAATCCATTGATAACAAAACTTTGTATGAACACTTCTCAGTGTTTGGAAAGATCCTGTCTTCCAAGGTGATGAGTGATGAGGACGGCTCCAAGGGCTATGGCTTCGTGCACTACCAGGAGCAGAGTGCTGCAGACAGGGCAATCGAGGAGATGAACGGGAAGCTATTGAGGGACTGTAAGGTGTTTGTGGGCAGATTCAAAAACCGCAAGGATCGGGAGGCTGAACTCAGAAGCAAAGCCAGCGAGTTCACCAATGTGTACATCAAAAACTTTGGGGATGACATGGACGATGAGAGGTTGAAGGAAATTTTCAGCAAATATGGCCAAACTTTAAGCGTGAAGGTGATGAAAGATGTCACTGGGAAGTCCAAAGGCTTTGGGTTTGTGAGTTTTGATAGCCACGAGGCCGCCAAAAAGGCAGTTGAAGAAATGAATGGACAGGATATAAATGGGCAGCCGATCTTTGTAGGCCAGGCCCAAAAGAAAGTAGAGCGCCAAGCTGAATTAAAGCAAATGTTTGAACAGATGAAAATGGAAAGAATCCGCGCGCGTCATGCGGCCAAGCTCTACATTAAGAACCTGGACGACACTGTCGATGATGAAATACTGCGAAAGGAATTTTCGTCATTTGGGTCCATTAGCAGAGTTAAGGTAATGCAAGAGGCAGGGCACAGCAAAGGCTTTGGCTTGATCTGCTTCTCCTCTCCCGAGGAAGCTGCTAAAGCGATGGCCGAGATGAATGGCCGCATCCTGGGGTCCAAACCCCTCAACATTGCCCTGGCTCAGAGGCACTGAGAGAGATAAACTTACCCTGACAAACTTAACCTCACCAGCCTGTGTAGAGGGTGATGATGGTGCACCACTGCTTTCTGGTTGGTCTTGAGTAAGCTTAAAATCCTACTGGCTGCTTAATTCATTGTATTTTGTGTTACAGTTTTTCTATACTAGTGTGTTTCTTTTGTGTGTATGGAAAAAAAAACCCCACGTGTTTTAGTAACGATTCATTTTACAGAGACATATTTTCAAATTTTAAAAGTCATTTTTTTCTTTTGATCTAATACAGCAATTTAATTGAATACATTTTCATTACATTTTGAACTAAGCAAAGAAATTATTTGAGTTTATTACATATTTCCATTTTTGTTTCAGTAATGTTGCTAGCTTAAGTTCATCTATAAAAATGTACTCAAAACAAAGATTCCAAAATAATTTATTTTTACCAATAGAATTTAAATTTTTCTCATTTAAGTTTTTTCTTTTTTGGCAACTCGAGTTTAGAAATTAGTAGACTGAATTCAATTAAAGAATAGATTTCATTTTGAATTAATGTGTTAACAGGAAATAGTTGAGTTTCTTATATACTTTTTTAGTGATTGAAATTAATATTGTGTTACAGGATTATTTTGTTACATTTTCTATGGGTTTACCATAATTCAGGTGCTTTCTACTTCTCTAATCTTACTTTATAGTAAAGCCTTAATGTATAGATAGCTACAGTTATAAATCTGTATCAGTGTAGGTGATGGAAAGTTGACCTCATCTTAAATCTTAAATCTATGCAGCTTAATGTGATGCCTTGAGTTATCACCAGATACCAATGTCATGAAAGTTGTATATATCCAACATAGAAACTCTATATAAAATCAGTCTTTTTTTAAAAAATTAATTTTATACTGATCTATCTCAGGGTTCAGAAAATTGTTCTTATTTTAACATAGTCCACCTCCTTGATTTAGATAGGGAGGTCTTGCTACACCTGAGGATTCACTTTTGGCCTTGGCTGGTGTCCTGACATATTAGAGTTGCCTCATTGGAACTGTTTCCGAGGGTAGGTTTTATTTTAATCCTGTTTCCAAGATCATTTCTCACTTCTGTCCATTAATATGTTAGCTTGATTTTTAGATATTTTAAAAAAGTATTATATTGGGTTTTGGTATTTACTGCTACAGATCCATTTGGAAGAAAAAGCAAGAGCTATTCATTTGCAGGTAACTCATGACATGAAAATGTTCTCCACTCACACCAAAGCTCTGGAATGTCTTGTTGCTGCTGTTCTCCTTTTCTTTCTGTTTTGATTTGTTTGGTTCTACCTTATAGCCGTGTAGTCAAAACTTTTACTTCATATATTACTAGTACAAAAGAAATACCAGAATATTTTTCTTTGACAATAGTTTCATGAATGAGAAAAAACTGTTTTGTTTTTATAAATCATATATATCCTGTGTACCTTTTCTAAATTGCGACTTGGAGAATGAAATGTTGCAATGAAAATATTGAAGTAACATTAAACACTTTTGCAGACTTACCTTCTGGTAAAATCTGTTGCACAGTCTCCCTAATTTTCCTATGTTAACAAATAGATAATTTAAGAAAAGCAATATCAAAACTTTTTATCAAGATGAGACATAGTGACAAATGCCTTTATCCCAACACTTGGGAGGCCAAGGTATCTGTCTGAAGCCAGCCTGGTATTCATAGTGAGTTCCAGGCAAACAAGGGCTACATAGTGAGACTCTATCTAAAAAAAAAAAAAAAATTCTTTTGATTGAAATTACTTTTTAAATTGACAGTCATGGGACTGGAGAGATGGCTCAGAGGTTAAGAGCACTGGCTGCTCTTGCAGAGGACCTGGGTTCTATTCCCAGCACCCACATGGCAACTGACAACCATCTGTAACTCTGGTTACAGGGGAGTCTTATGGCCCTCTTCTGACCTCCACTGGCATTGCATGACATGGGTGCACTTACATACATAGACATAAAAATGATAAATTAAATATAAAAAAAATTGACAGTGGTATGTTTGACTTCAGTGTTCACAAATACATATTTACATAATAATTTTAGTGAATTTTGTTTTGGGCCAAAGAGGACTCCATAGTGAGACAAAAGCCCTGATGAACATACATTGTGCCAACTTGTTCCTGTCATTTTTATTTCCTTCTGCCACAAATACCATAGAGTTAAACTTGCCAAATCACTATTGAGATATATTCAACTATTTTACCAAGAAAATAGCTTGAGAAGTCATGATTATAAAGCAATTAAAATATAACCTTGATCAGTATTACTCAAATGTCTTCTAAGAAATTCATGTGATTTTGTTACTGTCTGGCCTATTCAATGTGATATATGAAAAAAAATAATATTTTTTCTTCATTTTACTTTTTCACTATTTTTTCTTATAAAGTTTTAGAGTTTATCTCACTTATAGGCAGTTTATATTTTCATACTTGTAAATTGATGTTTCATAATCCTAAGCTATTTTTCTCTAGGAGTATTTTTTTATTTACAGGGAACATGAGATGCTTATATATATCAAAAATATTTTACGTTTACCTCCTTAATGTTCTTACTTTGTTTATAGTTTTTACAGTTCTTCCAAAGACAATTTTTTTCTCAAAATTCTCAACATTTTACTGAGATGGCATTTTTCTTGTGCTTTTTTATATACTTATATGTACACATGTGAAATATATTTGTATGTGTATATATACTCTATAACCAAAGCTTTTGCTTATGAAGTATTGTATGTGTAGACTATAGTAACCCTTTATTTTGCTGTTTCTTAGTATTAAGTCTTTAAAAAGCATGTGTTTTGATAATTACTCATATATGCTAAGGATTTATGTTAAGCTCACATGTTTATTCTAATTCACTGCTTTCAGAATTGCTAGGTGGAAAAGTGTATAATATTAGAGCATAGGTGTTACAGGAGCCAGGACTGGGAAATATATAAGTGTGTCAGACTTTGACAGTACTTTCTGGGTAATCCAAACTATGCAAATGTTCAAATATTTGAGCAATGTCTGATAATGCTCCAATATAGATTAGTTCTTTCTTGTGTGCACAAGGATTTGGCAAAACATCGTATCAGGTGTATAGATGAATTGTTTCAGCTTAATAACACAATATTCTACCATCTTTGTAGAAATTATCTTTTTTTCTGGTATTTCCATCAAAATTGGCTTTCAGGTTACAAAACATATGGATCTTGAAGATTTCCATGATTATATCATTTTTTTTTCACTCTAAATTTTTCTGGGTGTTATTGTCAAGTCATCCTAGTTGACAGAAATAGTTCATTCTTCTAGGAAAATTAAAAATTTTATGCCCAAGTGCCTTGATAATGAAGGAGAAGCTTCATTTTTATGATCAGCTTTCCTGTAAAAGCTCATTCCAACAGAGAAGCTTTGAGCAGTTGTCTCCACATGCAGTTTCCCTCCACATTGTCAAATCTGTTGAAGAGATGCCTGTTTGCATGTTAGAGCTGAATTTGCGCATATGTGCCTTGTTCCAGTTTGAAAATTTTTAAATGGATATTGTTAAAGTATATTTTAATTTGAATTAATATCGATATTTTACTGTGCTCAACATTTTTCTAAATCCATGGAGAAAATATTAAATAAAATCCTCCAAAGATCAACATGTTTGAAATTATTTTATTCATTTTATTTTTAAGTATTTCTAATTTTTTACATTTTTAATTGAAGGTGATTGTATTTTGTGTTTTAAAAGGCTCATATTTATGTTTCTTAAATCACTCACAATTAGAGGATCAAGAATGAAAGATACTACTAACGTAGCGCAAGTGTACATGAGGAATAGCTGACAGTTGTATTAGTTCAGTCTTCCTTACATGATACTTTGTAATTGAAAGCCTAAACGGCCACATCTGGTGATGGCTTTCTTCCTGGCAGAGTTCCAAAGTGGCTGGAGCATAAGGAAGGAGAAGGAGTACAAACCTGTGCTTGTGCCTTCCTCTGCTTCCCCTCTCCACTCACCAGCCACCAGTCTTCTACCTTGGAGGCACCACTCTGAGGAGCTTAACTAATCCTTATCACTGGCCAAACATACTACTTCTTAACACTCTTAGTACCTTAAAATGGGAATTCAACTTCAACGTATAAGCACTTCAAGGACATAGACAAGGTATACTCGAAGAATAGCAATTATTAATATGAAATTCACTTAGCATCTTGAGTGTTTAGTTTATTTATATTTTATTTGGAAATATGGCTTGCATCATGATTTAATAAAATGCAATATCCATGGGAAAATCATTTTAAAAGCTAAACCTATATGCTAAAATATAGGATAGAGTATCCTCATGGTACCATATTTTGCCTTAGGTGATAGAAAACACCAGTTCAAACTGAGAAAAAGAAATTTTCTCTAACAGAAAGCTCAGAGTTAAGGAATCCTCAGTAATCAAGGGTCAGGATTTCTGGATCCCTTTCCTGGGGTCTCCTGGTTCTTTTTCCCTTGGTTTAGCATCAATTAGGTGTAAGGATGGTTTTGGAAATCCCAGTAAACACACATAGACAGAGTCATATTCAAAAGGTGGTGCTCTTCTCTAGAAGCCTTATCTCTCAGTTCATAGAAATTCAAAAAGGTCTGCTACTGTCATTGGGAAAAGTACCAGTTTCCAAGTTTTCCATGGAATCAAGTTAAGATGGGAAGAAATAGGATTGAAATGGATGTGAAGAGAGCAAATAGTAAGCCCAGGATACTTTCCAATATTTATATTAGAATTTTAATATTTGACAGTTTTAATTTTAAAATCACTTATAGCTATTTAGCTATTTTGATCCTTTACTTTTTTATTGCAAATAGCTTTCAACACTAAAGCTAATGATTTCTTTCTCCCTC